ACTCTTACACTAAATGATACAGCAACGCGGAACAACTTTTGCAATTTTTTTTCTAGGTATAAAAAGTAAATCGTTGCATTTAAGAAGTATTTCTTCCAAAAAAATCGAAGAAATGATAAGTAGAACAAAATTAATTTAAAAAATGTATAAAATTAAATTCTTTTTCGTTAATTTTAACACGACACTTGCTTTTGTGTTTATTTTTTATCATGAAAAAGAAATCTTTAAGGATCATGGAAATTGTAAATACTGGTAGATTCACGTGTAATTGATACAAAGTCGAGACAATCTCACTTTAATGGCACGCGGTAGGAAAATTAATGAAGGCGGAAAATTTCAGTCGGCGAGAGCTCGATTTCAAACGCGGGTCGGCTTAAAAAATCACTCGGGCAGATCGGTCGCATCCTCCTAAGGGATAATTTCGGAAAATTGCTCGCGGAGCTTACACAAACTGTTTTAGCGTTTGGTGGCGTTCGGTGCAATGTTGTTCACCGCCTCTATTGATCGAAGCTCACAGAGGCATAGAGTTACAGGCCACTGGCGTCGACTCTCTCTATCTCTCCTTGTCTCTCCTCTTCGTCTCTCTCTTACTCTCATCATGTCTCTCGCCCTCAGCCACCATAGCTCACCCTTTCTCCGTCCCATTCTGCCGATCGTGTTCTCTTTCACTCTGTCTCTGTCTCTTTCCTTCACGATCTGTCTCTTTCGCGTATTTGGTCCTGAACTATCCGAATTCCATTTCCGTCCAATTACAATTCATCCCCGTTTCAAAGCTGCAGTCACGCCGCGTTCATTTCGCAAGCGCGCCGCCGCCAGAAGCAATCATTTCTTTTCTCACACTTCATCCCCCTCCTTTTAGCCCGGTCACACTTCGCCCATCATCTTCTTCTGGCCGGCCAGTGATGATGGATGCTCGCGTTTCAAGCAAGTTGCAATGTACAACCTTTATTGCAACATTGTTAAAGTGGCAAATGCGCTATACTATATTTATGGACGTTGAAGTTTCATCGATGATCATAGGAAAAACGTAACGTAACGTAAAAAATATCATATATAAGTGTAACATACAAATATAACATTACACATATATTCACCGACATATTGATATCAAACAGTCATGTTAAACATTTCGTAAATAATAATACTTAAAAGGAAATTCTGTTATCCCTCTAAAATTGTTCTACCGATTTAATTTAAATTAGGTGCAGTGCGTTTGCGCACAGACACAAGATTGTGCGCCAGTGTGATAAGATGAGAAGCATAACTAAAGTGAAGCGGACAGTGGAGTGAAGTTTAAGGAGTTTTGGATGCGAGGGCGAGTCCTCGCGAAGAAAGTTCGCCGGAGTGCGAGAGAGAGAGAGAGAGAGAGAGAGAGAGAGAGAGAGAGAGAGAGAAAGAGAGAGAGAAACTGTGAGAAATTAAGCAGATGCTCGCTCTTCAACACCATAAGAGACACTTCGCGACATGGATTTTTTCAACTTTAGTAACGACATAAGTAACTGGATCTTCACCCCCCATTGCACCTACGCTCTTTCAGCCAAAGTAAGAACGGAAAGTCCTTCGATACTTTCGAGAGGCGGTGCTTCGGGCGTATCCATCCAGAAGGAAGGCGTTCTGGAGCTACAAGACTCCATTACTCTCATTAGACCCCGTGAAAGTGCCTTTTTTATGCTCCGGTAGCTAATCTCCCGAGGATCGATAAGCTTTAAGACGGAACAGCTCAACGGCGTATAAATAAATAGCTATAAATAACGATTAATTTTAACGACGGCGCTTTTAATAATACGTTCATCGATATTCTCTCGATATAAAATGTTATACAAATAAATAAAGCGTAGTATAAAAGTGAAATCTTATTTTGTTATCATTCACATGTCGCGCGTTCGCAACATATCGACACTATTTCGATTAAAACCGATTCGTGATATGCATGCATATGTTAATTTGTACCGAAAAGACAGAAACAGAACGATAAATAAAATACCATACGCGCAATAACGAAATAAAATCTTGTTTCATTATATATAACTCATGCATCGTTTTCGGCGTCGTTTTTGTGTCGATTATAGCCTCTATCTATTTTATTCGACAACTTTGTTTCAGCGGGTTTTGTATTCTTCCGCCCGATATTTTCTTTTATATCTGATATTTGCAAACGAACAATGCTGTTGACGTTTCTTTGATCCCTGCAGTTTTTGACAGGCAGATGACAATTATCGCTCCTGGGTACACCAGGTATACCTTGATAATGATCGCTTGTGACGAACAACGGACTCTAAAACCGTTTTCGCCATGGAATTCGTTAAACAACTTCAATTTAAGCGTTGTTTTTACATTTTTTCAAAACTTATACACACACGGTTTTAAACAATCATTTGTGTTTTTTTCAAACAATGTTGTATAAAGCAACTATAATTAACAATTATACTCTTCCTCCAATTAATTTCTGCTAAAAACAAATATTAATTAGAATATTTAATTTGGAAAAAAGTGCGCAAAACCGGTAATAAAAGTGAGATCTTGAAAATTATTCTTAATGTGAATTTAAAATACCATGTAACGTTCAATTAATTATCGAAACGGCCGAGGAAAAAAATACAAAAACTTTTAATCAGTCAAATTAATCATGCCGTTCCGACCTTCGTTTTTCATAGGATACATAATGCTTCATCGCCTTTAACATCAACTTTCGTCCATGATGGCCGGTTAGAACTCCCCATTTTTTTCCTCGTTTGCAGACCAATTTATCGAGGACGTATCGTTTTGCCCAATCATCCAATTAAATGCCCACGCAGCCAATTCATTGCTCGCGTCTTTACTGGAAAAAGATGCGAGCGCGGACCATCGTCGATCGGCCGCCCACGTATCCGCACGCGTTGCACAGTCGTCGCCGGATACGCCGCCCGGATGATGATGCGCCGAGCAGATTATTGACGATGAAGTATCGCGCGGCACTGTCAACCCTCGCCATGAATTATCGGCGCGCTCCCTCGCCCCGCGCAGCGCGAATCGAGGTACAATCGCCGTTCTTGCCAGCGGCGCGTAAACGGATGTTCCGCGATATCCGCATAACGCGCTCCGTATTGCATACTGCTGCATCGCATCCGCGCGCGGTCGCCCACACGCGCTTGAATAGCGAGCGATATATGCGATTTCTACGCCGAACGGCGTGTTGACGCGTCGCCTAACACGGCCCACGATTAGGAGATTCTGACCGACATTCATCCGTCCGGAATCGCAGGCTTTGATAATACCGGACACTACTGCCGATTGCCCTGTTGATGCGCACGTCGAAGGGTTTGATGACCGCGAGGACGAGGCGGCGACCCGCAATTGATGTCTTTTGAGATCTCGAGCGCGATAAACGGTCGCTATACAGATTGTTCGCTACCATCGTTAGCGAGACACGTGATTTGCCGACTTGGTAAATAAATATATGGGCACGCATAGTACAGTTGAAATATATGTTTACTATTCGATAGATTTACTCAATATGTTTCAATATTATAAAGCATATATAGAGGATATGTGTTTAATATTTTTAAATAACGTGCTGATGCAAGTTTGTAATATCGCTTAAAAATTTATAACTTATTATACTAAACTTACCTTTATCGATGACTGATGATCGATTCCGGTGGGCTTCGGCGCTATTCGAAAGACCTGCAACAAAAATGATAACAAATGTTTAGTAAAATTAATTGAGATAATGAAACTAATATAGAATTTTAATAAATCTAAGAAAATTATTTAATTAATATATTCCCAACAATTTACCAATCTCGGCTAACTGTAAAAAACTTTTGTGCATTAAAAATATAAAATTTATAATCTCCAAAAAAACAGAATATTTATTTTCACATGAAAAAATTTTGAACTTTTGTCAAGATATATATTTCTGAAGATGAATATAGAAAATAGTTTATGTCGTGGAAGTATTAATAATTACACATTTTAATATCTTCCACAGATTAACGTAAAACTTGAAGGTGTAAAAAGAGAAATAATATCGCATGCTGAGTTTTAAGATAGTAAAGCAAGTATCTTTCATTTTCACGTTCACCATTAGTGCTCTCGTGTTACTAGAACTTCTAAATATCTTTCTTAAGCAACCTGGCGATTATATGTGACAAATCGATACAGCTCCGTGCCCGGTCGCTGTCATGAGCACGATCCCCGAAAGCGAGAGACACTCGAATTGAATTCAAATGAAGCTTTTCACCGTGTGATAGTTCGTTTAAACATTCATGCAAATCGCCTGCGGTGCGCTGTCATGGAGTTTGTAATAAAACCATGTTGATTGAAGCTTTTCGCACGAGATGCGTTTCTTGAGTATTCCGACAAAAAAATTCAAGCTCTCGTTTCTTGTCGATTGTAATAGATTTAGCTTTCGATACAAAAAAAATTAAGAGGGATTTAATTGCGTATCGCTGTATTTTGAGCAAACAGGTTGTAGTCGCGCAAAGCATGGTGCATCATCCTCGAGCGAAAATTATCCGATATCTTTTTTTTTCACCTGTGGATGTTTCAAAAAATATAACTGGGTCGAAAGAGTGTCTCGCGCTCTTTGTTCTTCCCTAACACAATCCGTCTTTGTGTATCGAATATAAAAGCTGTGCTCTGAAAAGTCGTAGACAGTACGAATGTGACGCCTGACATTTACGGACAGCTCGAAAGTAGTGTGTTTTCGAGCGTCCTGACCTATTAATAACATTAGGTTGAATAATAATTTACACCAACGTATTGCACAAAAACATTTCATACATTTACTTATAGTTAAACTGACAGTCGAAGCTTCAGTCTCTTTTTTTGCGCATCTGCGCATCAATAACAATCAAGGGGTTAACTAGCCGCGTCGGGTCGCGTTCCGGGAGTACTTTTTGTCGGGTAATCTAGCGACCGCGTCGCCAACTTAGCTCGCTCATCCGCCCGTTGCGCCCGATCGAAGCGCATATAAAAGGACCGTGATGGAACGCGATCTCGAGCCAGTGTAGCACGACGTATGTCCGGTCTCGGGCCGACATCCTCCCGAGCGATCGATCTCGCGTAACGCATTACGTGCGTATAGGATCTCGGCGGGGCCGTTCCCTCTCGACGCGGCACACGTGAGATCACCTCGTTCTCGGTTCGTTGGCAACAGCTATAAAAGATGTTGCAGTCGGAACAGGACGGCAGTGCGCAGTGCGAAAAGGACATGTCGGCGTCCAAGAGCAGCTCGTTGTCGCGCCTGAATCAGGAGGGCCGTCGCGGCTCCGCCGACTGGCAGGACCACGGCGACACCGACTCGGAGATCAGCGAGAACGACTTCCTCACCAAGGGCGCCTTCCTGCTCACCCCCAGCCACGAGCTGAGCATGGAGAAAGCCGCTACCATCTGCGAGAAAATGAACTTCCGGTGAGAGAACCATTTCGGCGGGACCGCGCCCGTCACGCGGGACAAGGATTTCTTCCCGGATTTCAAGTCGTTCGATGAGAGAGAAAAAGAGACGTTAAACTGGACTCGTACTCCGATAAACTATGATGAACGAGCTCGAAGGTGTCATCGATCCTCGGGTTCTTTTTTCTTCAGTTTCTTTATCCTGCATCTTGCACCCGTCGATTGTGTTCGACAAGTTTATATCATCATTATCGCAAAAAGATATACGCGCGTTCACATCATAAAACATACGTTTACGATATTAAATTCGATCGATTAATCAAAGGATAGTGAACACAGATGATTCGGCTACAAAAATTATTTTATCTCCTTTCAAAATAAAAAATTGTTCTTATAAACAATGATAAAGTCATATTCTTTACTTCTCTAGATGCAAAAAATGTTTTTAATTGGCTTAATGCTAAACCAAATTACTCGTAAATTACTTTACTACGTACTATTCTTAAAAAATATCATAATAAATGTTATTTTTCTATTAATTTTTCTAACATTTATTTTATCGAATTAAAATCTTGTTCTAACTGAGTTGCGGCAGTGGCATTGATTGTATCTTCTAGATTACTTCGACCTTCACTTAGTTTAATCCGCAAGAGATCCTAAAGTGCTTCACGCCCGAATCGGATCTAAAAGTAGTTAAGTCAGCTGGCGCATCGTGTGAAGTAGTAAAGGCAGTAACAGATCGGACAACAAATCCATTAAAACCAACTGCGTCTGACATTTGTGTGCGAACTTTTTTGCGCATCGACAACGAGATCGTGTGCTTGACAGTGGCAGGAATTCATTCGCGATTAACATCGAGAGCAACTACGGAGCGGACTAACTTTTGACCGCGGGATTATTCCGTTGTATAAAATATCAAAGATGATATTTTTCGCGCAGAGTTTCATTCTCGAATAGGCTTTCTCTTATTGACTCGTATCATAGCAAAAACGATTTTCTATTGTATGATTTAGAGGCGCATTTTCTTTGACGAAGACCGCCACCGGCATTCTCTTCAAGTTTAGCAACATCGACGACTTTCAAGCGGTGTATAAAAAGGGCTTCCATAAAGTAACGGGTGCCCGCTTTTACAAGAAGGTAAATACACCACACACTAAGGCAAATTTTCGCGACTTAAATTAACTCTGTATTCACGGGATTACCGAGACATCTCACTTCGACGAACAACGCTTGACAAAATAACTTTGAAGGCCGCAAATAATTATATTTCGCGTGTTATTGCTTTACGTCTAAGTGTGTTGCATTATATTGCATGATTACTCGAGCAACCTTTATAAAGCTAAAACACCTAACACTGCGAAATACCTTATAGTGCTTCTGCAACTAATCTCGGGATCTGCATGGATTTTACGCTCTTGTGGCACGAACACAAGTTGCAGATATACAACAAAGTACAAAGGGCGCTTTACTCACGCGAAAGATACAGAAATAGCTTGACAGTAATATGTGTAAGCAACTCATTTCCGCATTCATCTCGGATTTGATCATTGCGATACTGCGTTATGCGGCATTAACTCCATGGTGAATTACAAAAATCACGAAACGCGATTGTTTTTCGCTTTGTTTTTCAAAGAATATTCTTCTAGCATTTGTTTTTCTAAAATATAGCTCTTCTTCGTTGTATTTATTCTTTAAAAAATATGACACTTGAAAATTATACGTATGAAATTTCTCCCCCGGAATAAATTTGGTAAATGATGTGTATTCTAATCTCATAATATATAGGTCGCTATACCGTGTAGACCGGCGAAGATCTTCACCGTCTACGTTCTAGATGTGCCCGAGGAGCTGCCGGAGGATGATATTAGGCACGCTCTCTACAAATATCGATCTATCGTCGAAGTAACCAGGCTACCCCTGAACACGGGAACTGTTTGTGAGTCACGAAAATGCAAATGCTTCTTCTCCATATTTCTCATACCGCCGCACTTTTCCCGAGGAAAGCTTCGAGCCCCTATACACATCGCGTAACATGATAGACTACTTTCCTCTCTCTCTCTTTCTTTGCAGCTTAAAAAATCTTTTCACGTGTATGAATTTCTGTATAAAATATATAATCAAAGTAAATAAGTGTAACTTCTTGAAAGTAAATAAAATACAGTTTCAATAATAAATTTATTTTTGCCAACAATTTTTTATCAATCGTTTAACATAAAATATTTAGCGTCCCGTAAAATAATTATATCTCTTTGTATATTTGCAATTTATTGTTGCCGGACAATAAGCTTTAAAGTATGCCATTGTATTTGACATATATACGAAGCGATTCACGTATTTAAACGCGCTATTATTTTTCACGACGCGTCGAGCTACCTTTTTGCAACGCAGGCAATAAAATCGTGTGTTAAATAAATCAGTGAAGGCCATCAATGACAAGCTAAAGAGCGACGCGCAGAATCTGAACGAGCCCGCGACGATTTATACGGGACCACCCGTTATAAGGGTTACTCTGGCCAGCGTGGAGGAGACCTCGATGTTGCTGAGCCGTGGTTTGGATTTTTATGGGGCCACATATTTCCCCACCGAAACGCCCCATCCAGCCGCTCAACCCCTCGCCAAATACAAAAACAACAGGTGGGAAGTGAATTCGTTCGTGCATGCTCACCCGCGCGGCGCAACATGAGCGGCGTGATTCATTGAACGACAAATTCGCGACCGTGTTAAAAATTACGCACGGCACCGATATCATTCCCGATCGATGTTTATTACCCGGCATTAACTAGCATTGCGTCGGGACCGATAATTCTGCATAATGGCATTTAAATATCCGTTCTTTCCAAATTAAACGGGACTGCTATTATTAATTCATGCAATGCGAATAAAGTTGCGTTAAAAATAATCATACAGGAAACGATTTTCGCGCAAGATACGCGACTTGTTAAATGTAATTGGTATGGTCTGTTCATCTGAATCTGTTTTAACTCGTAATATAATTTTGAGATAAAAATCGTTAATGTTTCAAAATTTAAAGTACTTAAAAATGAAATCGTTGCCATTAGTCAAAAAATGATGACAGCGCCATTAAACGATTCATTCTTTCACTTCGCCGTAATATCTTTAATGGAACATTGCCAATAAAACACAAAAGCTTCGCGGGCATTAGGGGGAAACGGATCGCTCTCGGAAAAAAAAGATGAGAGGAGGAACCCCTTTCACGTGTTTCGCCATTGCAGATGGATCGAGCTGGCGTCGATCGGCGCAGGACAAAGAGTGAGGGACCTACTTCCGGTCTTTGACAACGCAGGCTTCAACAAATTGCCACCTCCGGCGAGCCGTGTAATAAAACCACAAAGAAACTGACACGTCCCCCGGCCGGCACCCCGAATTCTTCGACCGCCGCCGTCGCCGCCGCCGCCGCGATCGATAGCGGCGACGAATTGAGGGAGGACGCCACCGCGAGGACGACGCTACGACTCGACGACGACGCTAACGCAGACTACCTCGATCGAAATTCGAACAGTGGCATGAGGATCTGTTTCGAGTGATTTCAGCGCGATTCTAATCCTCCGTCAATCGCGGTGTTTGGAAGAAGGTCAGCAATCGTACATTTATGAGATAAAACATGAGACAAAATACAGAAAACTATTTTTCTTGAAACAAATAATCAAATAAAAATAGTGGAATCTTAGGAGAAATCTAGTTCAAAAATGCATACGTTGTCTTTTTTAAAATAGAAACAAAGTGATTCAGTTATCTTGTTCATAGAAGATACAATAATTAATGTATATATAAATAATTATTCAGTATTACTAATTAAAATATTAATTTATTTGTAAGTAGATCGCAGAAAAATCCGAAAATTTTCACGGTGAGTCTGTTCAGGTGGATAAAAACACGTATTGAGCAGCTTCGCGTGTACTAATATGTTATTCAAGCCAATTGATGTGAACAACATTCTTTCATTCAAGTGAAAGAAAAAATAATAATATTCTCTGACAACAACAAAGTCAAATGGTGCTTGAAAGTTTTGAACTGTCTTTAAGTCCAAAAATTTGGAAATTGTTAGTTTGAATATAGAACTTATGAAAATATTAGCTAAACGTAGGAATGTTGAGATATTAATTTAAATATGTTCAAAATTATATCTCTGAATTTTCGTTAATTAACAAATATTTATTTTATCTAGTTTTGGATCTTTCTTTAATAAAAATATCTGAAAAATATCGATTTCTAATTTTAGATACTTTATGATTGTCTGCAAAATCATATTTTAGAAATATTTATTTTACTAATAATTTGCGAAAAATTAAAATAAAGTATCTTATAATAGAAAGAGTTGGCATTTTTCCAACATTTTTAAAATAAAGATCAAAGAGTGCATTGGATAAATATTTAAAAATAATAACCGTTAATTGATAAAATAAATACTTGTCAATTAATATTTCGTTAATTATTGAAAATTTAAATATATTTCTGCGTATATTTAAAGTATTTTTCAACTGCGTTTAATACACATTTATTAAACTTAATACATACTTTATGGATTGGATATCAAAAAAGCCATTATTTCGTTTAATATTTCCAAATTATATCAAATATTATTTGTAGCAGTGATTAAATTATTTGAAAAATAATTACTGCATACTTTGAAGCTTTTATATATTCATCTTTTTATTAAATATTTATTAACAAAAATTAGACAGTTTTCAAACAAGAATTTTTTAATAAATCCAAACTCTTATTAAAATATTTAATTAATAAGTATCAATTTCTTATGTAAATATTAGAGTTATTCACAAATATGTGAAAAATATTTAACAATTACAAGTAAAATAGTGTAAATATTTTATTGAATAGTCTAAGTATTTTGTAGCAATTTATTTTGCATCATATTATGCAAGAATAAGACATGCTATATGATCATTGCAGATATACAATTAATATTTTACCAGTAACAAATAATAAAGAAATGACAATGAATTGCTTTAAAATGCTTAGACTATTCAATAAAATATTTACATTATTTTATTTGTAATTATTAAATATTTTTCACATATTTAAGATTTGTGAATAATTCTAATATTTGTATAAGAAATTGATACTTATTAATTAAATATTTTAATAAGAGTTTATGTATTTGTTAAAGCACTCACCTTAAAGGTGCTGTGCCGAAACCTGATGCCCTCCCCCCCTCCCCCGGACCTCCTCCTGCTCTCAGTGGTCCATCGATGGTCTTCATAACACTCACTCGCGAAAATATAATTACGATAACGTGAACAATACTTATTAAAATATAACACACGGCCTTTGAATCTACTGAAAATAATACGGAACAATTTTGGCTGCCGTCTATCTTGCCCGAGTGTCGCCGTGCGAATAGTAGAAAAAGTTATAGCGTACGCGTATATAACAGTGCGCATACGCTGCGTACACCACATTCCAGATCACTACAAAAGTAAACAATCTCTGACGTCACGCACTAGTACCGAAATACTTCGACGCGCAATTTTGTGATTGTTTTCATCATCATTGTGTACGTCCGCTGTTTGCATGCTATAACTTTCGCCCCACCATTCATACGGCAGCAACCGACAGTAGCCAAAATCATTCCGTATTATCACCTTGTTGCCATTCGCACTACAGCGGTCTGGCAGAGGAGAGAAGCAAAGAGAATCACTTTATGTTATTATTACGTTTGAAATCGCAATCGTGACAAATATTAAAACGCAGATATATTTTATTTTTTATATTCGAGAAACGCGAAAGCTTGATAATATTTTGGATTTAACAAAGTCGTAATATAAAATTGGCACATAAAATTAATCACGCAATTTCTCTTTGTCGCTTGCTTGCCTACTTCAAACGGATCATAGTGCAATCTCGTACTTTTTTTTCGAGTTTTTTCTTTGAATATGACAAAGATCGCGTCGGAAAAACAATAATTATTATATAAAATATCATGCAATCGTCGTATTTTTACGAGTGAGTGCCACAAAGGAGCAATCATCGATGGACGACTACAAAGAAGGAGGTCCAGAAGGCATTGAAAGCTTCAGCGCAGCAGTTTTAAAGTAATTTATCATTTATTTATTATTTGTAGTTCTTAGAAATTGCAAATGGTCAAACAATTCGTACAACTTGGGTTTCAAAATTAAACATTAAATAATTCAGACTTTTAGAACTAAAGGCATGTTTAAACACAAGTCGGATATACAAAATGTTCAAACTTCTTGTTTAAAATCTACAATCGAAGGACGATATCATTGGCGATATAATACATACAAATTGGCGCAAAAATACATACATATACATGTATGAACCATTTAAATATTTAATTATAATGAAGGAAAAAAATGCTCGTTGCAAAATCTTATGATTTTATATTTCTATTGATAAATTATTGGAAAATCTGATTTTTATTGATCCACATTTCTATACTTTTATAATTATCAAAATTGATCAATATAAATAATTTAATTTCAACATGAAAAAATCAACATAAATAATTTAATTTTCTGCTTGCACTTTGAACGTGAATAATTTTTACATTTACGTTATTTTTCTCGAAAAAACGTTTGCATTATTTATAATAATATCATAAAACACACTTCTTCCAGACTATTTTATAACTGTCTTTTTCAAACATATATTGTTTAATAATGTTATATTTTATATGAATCCTCATTATATATTTAGTCAGCAGATAAAAATTAATTCTTTTTAGCTACAATTTCTGAAAAAAGAAATTACCTCTGAAGAAGTAATTTTTATTTTTCATGGTTATTATTTCTGTTTTTACAAAATCTAGTTAAAACATAAATCTAAAGATCGGGTATAAAATTAATGTATTTCTCAAATATATATGCGATCGATGGAGGGTCAATTGTAACGTATAAGAAGAAATTGCGTTATGCGCTCGCGACGACTTGAGCCATTTCTCGGCATGCATACGCGCCATAAGATATCCCGTGCCGGTTCGCAGGTTGACGTGACTTCTAATCCCGTCCCTCCCATACAAGTGAAGGTTCCTATTTTTCCGCCGGCGGAAAGGTCAGCGCCGTCGTATCAAACGCAATATATATATATATGATATTACCGTTCCTATCAGTCGCCTGTTTTTGCGCCAGTCACGCGACTAACATTACCTTAAAACGCACTAGGTCGATTACATGCCAGAAATTAATCCGCCAGTGCACTGATAAAGAGAAATTCACGGAGTAGAGATGGCTAGGTAGCTCGATATACGGTAGCTCATGAAAGTATTCAAACGGAATGATTCGATTTATTATCGTGTATAAAGATTGTTGATCGAAACTCACTTTCGTGAGCAAACTACAAAGATATTATATCTTTGAAGTTGCTTGAACCGAAAATCCCGTCCGTCGTTAACGAAAAATGGTCAAATTTCGAAAGCAAAGATAAATAATGTTGTTATATTTTATAATAATTTTTGTCAATCGGAAAAAGTAAAAATGTATTATATTTTAATTGCACTGGTAAATTTATAAATATATAAATTACTTATATATATATATATGTTAAAAGCTTTCGTTGTGTGAAGATAAGATTACATCAAAAGTACAAAATTGTGTAGAAATTATTTTAAGGAAAACTTTATTGCGGATTCTAAGTTTACTAATAAAAGCAAAATATGCTTAGATTTAATTAATCTAATTTGCTAATAATGTTTTAACAATGATTATTAATGTTACAATATTTAAATCCGAAAATTAGTATTTATGCGAAATAATATAACTGTTGTAAACAAAATATAATGTTTTGAATTTAATGGCTAACATAATTTTTCAGGTCTTTAGATGCTAAATATTTTAAAAATTATTAATGTGTTCGGCTGCATTAGATTATACGATACAAAATAAAAGTATGCTGTGAAATCGATTTGACTATTTCTATACTTTTATTATATCCAGCGGTATTATATGCAAATTTTTGCATTAAAACATCTTTGAACAAAATCTAGTAGATATAATCAACAAAATGGAACTGATGGAAATATACGTAGTGCGTCGCATTAAAGGAATAAAATATTCATAAATGAACCTTGATAGATTCTGACATCGTTGGAATTTATGTAAAGAAGCGTAAGTGATAAGAGACTAACAGGATTTGACGTGGGAAAAAAAGCGAGTGGACGGGAGAATGAATTGGGTGGGAAAATGGTTTTTCTCCTCTTTTGCATTCAAGTCCTTTTGCATTCGAATCGCGAGTAGTCACCGACACGCGCTCGCGTAAACGTCGTCGCGAGGTTTTTATTACAGAAACGGCAATTCAATAACGATGAAATTTACTTTGTGCATGCAACGTACACGCTCTTATTAGGATATATATTACGCCGTCCGTTACGTAACCCGCAATATTCCCTTATATAAACGTTCCGTTGCAATTACGTAATGCTCGTACGGATGGGACGTACTTGATGGCGGATCGTGATATATGTAGTCGGGCTTGCCATTCGCGTGAAAGCCGTAACGACGTTATTACTCCCTTATTAGAAGGATTACGATCCATATCATTGTGTCGTGCACTTATCACTTTGCGATGACGTGTACTTTAGAGATTCTTTAGACTTTGTCACGCGCGGACGCAAGTACAGGATGGGGTGAAGAAACGGGTGATTTTAAAAGTCGTTTTACTCCACCACTATTGGCTGCGTTCAGAAATCCTACTCCTAAGAGTGACAATAGACAAAGATCATAGACAATAATAGACAAAGAATGTCACCCGGAGCAGGATTTCTAAACTCAGCCAATAATGATAAAATAAAACAATTTTTTAAAAATCGCCTGTTTCTTCACCCCATCCTGTATTTAAAATTGCGATTAATCGCGATAAAATTTCGACCGTTGAAACTTTTTCTCTCAACTTAAATTCAATATACTTCAAAGAATTATGCGGAAAATTTTCTCCCAAATATCATTTCCCGCGAAATAATCCACGAAGAGGCGAGAAGAGTGAGAATCACCCTGTCTAAACGCCTCGCCGTTTTATTTTTCATTATTTTCACCGTTGCGGCGGCGGGAGTGACGTTGCTTTTAACAAGGCGAGACTTTATCAGGGAAAGAGCTCGTGGAAAGAGAGAAACTTGGC